TTTTTTTTTTTTTGACCTGTGAAATGAATATTAATTACTTCAAAATTAAGTTTATTTATTTTAAATTGATTATGTTTTAATAATCCTCTATGGTCACTAGTAAAGAGAAGACTGTTAATAATTTTCTGTTAATACAAATGTGGACTGCGTAGGCTCTAAGATATATTGCCGTTGCTGGCCAACTTACTTAGCCAGACTTGTGCATTTCAAGATCTTTCTGCACTCCTGCGTCTGCTCCAGCTCTTTTCGAGCTCATTACATAAAACTGGACAAGAGATTATGTCACGCTGCTTCCTAGTTAGCCTGTGGGGTATTCTCACCCACACACACACACACACACAGACAAGTTGGGAGCATGATAAGCTGAGCTACAGGCAAATGGCCAGGTGTATGCGCATAACCGTAATATTCACACATGTCCAAGGCAGGACAGTCAACAATAAAAGAAATTCAAATAAGAAAAATAAAAACAGCAGCAGCCTTAGCCTCAGTCTCAGTCTCAGTCTCAGTCTCAGACTCAGCTCCAGCAGCCGCAGCAGCAGCAACAAGAGAAATACATTTTGAAAATTTAACGATGCGCACATTTTATTACCGCAATTAATTACAAAAACAACAACGCGCCCGAAGAGATCTTCAATCTCAGAGAGCCATGGAGAGAGGCAGCGCAGTGGGAGAGAGACAGAGCAAGAGAGCCTCTGGGTTAAATGAGAGAATGAGCAGCTAAAGCGTTAGATCTACTGATAAACGTTATGATAGATGTGACTAGTAAAATGCTACTACCAAATAGTTCTGGGCCGCTGCCTCGGCTGTGACTGCGGCTGTGGCTGTCGCTTTAGTAATTGGAGGCGCAACGGGCAGCTGCTGTTAGCCAGGGCTGCTTAATTGGCTCAGCTGCATGGGAGAGCGTTTCACTCACAGAGCGCAGCTTCAAACTTGTTTCTTGACCAATTAAATGACACAGCCAGAGAGAGAGAGAGAGAGAGAGGGAGAGCGTGTGTGTGTGAGAGAGAGAAAGAGAGCGAGGGGGAGAGACGTAGTTCAGTTGAGTGAGTGAGCGCGCGATCAGCTTCAATCACGACCTGGCTCAAAAGACGTTGTGGACCGTTGGCCGCTTTTGTAGCCGCACATTTCGTATTTTGACGCGTAGCGCGACAGACGGCTCGAACAACTGGTCTATGAACGTTAACTCAAACGCAATGGGCTTTAAGCATACGATGCTGCAGCGCAGCTATGAGCTGGCCGCCTCGCCGGGCCCCCAACTGGCAGCGGCGCCGGCAGCGCCGCAAGTGACGGACTTTAGCATAAGTCGCATACTGGGCAGCTCGGCCAGCAAGGATAATGCGGCTAAGAAATCAACAGCAGGAGGCGTAACAACAGGAGCCACAGCAGGAGCAACAGTAGCAACAGCAGCAACTGCTGCCAGCAATATATTGGATCTGTCAAAGAGTCGCCAACAGGCTGCAGTTCAAGCCGCGCCGGTGCAGCTAAGTCCCGCCGCTTATGGCTATGCCATGCTGCCGCCGGATCTGTTGGCCATGGCCAGTGCGACCAAGTTCTATGCACAATTCTTTCCGCATTTGCTGCCCGCCTATGCAGCGGCAGCAGCTGCCGCCGGGCTGACAACGCCACCCACCTCGCCATACCAGCAACATCAGCAGGCACCACCACAACAACATCAGCAACAGCAACAACACTCGCAGCAGAAACGTTACTTTGCGCCGTATGTGATCAATGGGCAGAGTCCGACGCGCTCCAAGTCCTCCAGCGCCTGCACTCGCGCTGACTGTCTGGAATGCCTGGATTATTATAAACAATTCGGCGCTGGCTATAAGCCAACGCCTCTCATATCGCCGGCGGCTTCATCGGTGAGCAGCTCCAGCAGCTGTCGGCTGCCATCGCGTGAGCTGCTGCTCAGCGCCAGCGCCAGCAGCAACATTTCCCTGACCAACATCTCTGTGACCAATCTGAATCTGAGCAGCACGGCGACAGCGACTGCGATTTCGCCTGTGGCCATGTTGCCCAACTTGAGCAACAGCAACAGCAACTCCAACAACAACAACAACAACAGTAATAGCAACAACAGCACAAGCGCTGGCGAGGAGATCAGCTACAAGTGTCGCATATGCGACAAGGTCTTTGGATGCTCCGAAACGTTGCAGGTGAGTTGAGAACAGAAAAGACTCTGAAGAGTGGGCGTGGATGGGTGGGCTTGACATACCCTGAAACTAGAACAGTTATAGATGAGGATATGCGAGTTGGCTTAGCGCACTTGTAGAGTGGATGAGTGGGCGTGTTTTTTAGGAATTTAGATCAGTTATGAATGTGCATATACGAGGTTACTTTAAAGAATTTTAATCTTGCACTTGTATAGAATACATATAGAAATACATTTAATTTCATTTCAAATTTATATTTTATTTGTCCAAAAGGAAAAGTGATACCTATATCGTATGTATTAGTACGATAGCAAATTTCAATGGAATGGATGCAATAAATTATAGTTTTTGTTTTAACATTACAAAAATTAATATTTGTTGTGCATTTTATTAATTATCAAAATTAAAAACATATTTTTTTACTGACTAGTATTATATCCCCCAAACATATTTTTGAAATAAAAAAAAATAAAATTAGGGCAAAAATAAATAAAGTCTTGGGTTAGGTCGTAGATTTCTGAAGTCTTCCTCCTAGGGGCTAAAGGATAAGTAGACTATTTTGCCACTTAAAGAAGGTTATTTATTATATTATGAGATACATACATAAGGTATGGTAAAGTAAAGAGAAAAAATGAGATAAGAGACAGAGTTATTTCAATTTGAAACAATATATCAATTATGAATAATTAATTAATAGATATACACTAATGCTTGTTATGAAAATTTCTTAGAAAAGCTAATCAATTTTAAAAGGGCTTTTAAAGCTCTATAGATTCCTATTATCCCATTTTATTATCCCACTTGAGATATTTAAAGATATCACTACTTATCACTATCAGTAAATCAAAGTTTGGGTGGGTTTAGAAAGAGACAATTTATAAAATTATTCCCTCAAATACAAAAATATAGTAACATTTCGGATAAACCATAGCAAATTGTATAAATTTTCCATTATTTATGGAAATATGCATGTTAATAGTACCAAAAGATCTCTCATACAAAAACAAATAAATTGCTTAAACAATAATGATATTTTATATCAAATATAAAATATATATAATGATTTGGTTCGTTTATGGATTATTTAAAGTCCCAAATACCAAATATTTGAAATATAAATTGTATTTGAATTCGGAGAAATCCAGTTTGGCTTATCTTAAGCCTTCAATCTGCATAAGCAAAAGCACTAGCGATAGGCAGCAGCTCAAGGCATCATTTTTCTTGTTATGATCACAGCGAGGCAGCCAGTGGGGCGGGGTCTGAGCCAAAGGCGGAGCAAACAGCGTAGAGCAGTGAGCGTAACAAGCGGGCAGCGCAGGGGCAGCAGAGTGACAGCAGCAGCGCAGCTGCGCTGCTCATGCAAATCATGTTGATCGTTAAAAATGGTGGCGCCCAAAACAGAAGCAAAACGGTGAAGAAGAAGCAGGCGAAGAAGCAACAACACCAAAATGTGAGAACTGGTTTTACGCATGGGTGCAGCAGCAGCCACAGCCAAAGAGAGAGCACAGCAACACAAGCAAACGAGAGTACAGCCGTTAGAAAGAGAGCGCCATTGAGCGCGGTTAAGCAAAATGGCCGTCAAGCCAATGAGCAGCATTGCTCAATGCTCCCTTTCCCACACACACATACACACTAATTGACTCACACTCACCACCTCTACCGTTCTCTCTCTCTCTCTCTCCCTCTATCCCATTGTAGGCGCACGAGAAGACACACAAATCGCCGCGCTACGAATGCTCCGACTGTGGCAAAGGCTTCTCCCAGCTGCGCAACTATAAATATCACCTATCCGTGCATCGTGGCACCAAAGAGTTTGCAGCCGAGTGCCCGGAATGTGGGAAGACGTTCAACGACAAGGGCTACCTCAGCAGCCACATGAAAATCCATCGAAATCGCAAGGAATACGAATGCCCCTATTGCCCCAAATCGTTCAATCAACGTGTCGCCTTCAATATGCACGTCCGCATCCATACGGGCGTCAAGCCGCACAAGTGCGCCGAGTGCGGCAAACGATTCTCCCGCAAAATGCTGCTCAAGCAGCACATGCGCACCCATAGCGGCGAGAAGCCATATCAGTGCTCCGTCTGCGGCAAATCCTTTGCGGATCGCAGCAACATGACACTGCATCATCGCCTGCACTCGGGCATCAAGCCCTTCAGCTGCCCGCTCTGCCCGAAGGCCTTCACCAAGAAACATCATCTGAAGACGCATCTCAACTACCATACAGGCTGCAAGCCCTACGTCTGTCCACATCCCAATTGCAATCAGGCCTTCACGCAGTCCAGCAATATGCGCACGCATGCCAAGAAATGCCAATACAGGCCGCTAGATGGCGCTCAGGCATTTCCGTTGCCCCCCAAGCAGCAGCAGCAGCAACAGCAGCAACATCTCCAGCAGCAGCAGCAGCACACATTGTCTCTGGCCCCAGCTCCTAGCTTTGTGATGCCACCAGCAACGTTTGCTGCCGCCGCATCCGCATTTCCGCCGGCCCAGCAAACGCTGCTCAGCAATCTGCGCACATTCTAGCCAATAGGCGGAAATGAAAACTCCGAGTAGCAAGTGACTGAATGAGCTGAGTATGAACCAAGCCTTTAGGGTTTAGGTTTAATAATATATTTTCTTATGTTTTTATTTAGGAAAACATCCCCAAAAAAAATCTAAATTGATAGATATTTATAATCAAAAATTGGCACATGCATAAATTTAAGTTATACATTTTTTTTTTCTATAAAAATTACTTTTTCATTCCTTCAATCTATTTAATATATATATCAGGCTAGTTTCCAAAATGTTCAGATAAACAAAAATATTCATATATGTATTGCTTAAAAATACAAATATTTTTTTTTTTGTTATCTTACTGTAAAAAACGAACATTTTGCAGACTAACCTCAAATTTTCTTTTAGTTTTGCTGATTTTTCTCGATTTGTTCGACTTGCTTTTGAAAACATTTGTAAATTCGATTCAACAGTAGATATATTGGAAAAAAATTTTTCAAATGATAAAAATTAGTCACGATACCTTAATCAATTCTAATGAAGAAAGAATCGAGAAAAATACTAATTTTGTATATAGCTATAAAATTTTAAATACAAAAAAGAGAAGTAATTTATAACAGAGTAAAATAGAACAAATATATGTGTATAATATCACAGTTACTTGTCACTGTCACAGTTCACTGCAATAATTTGTAAATATTTAGGTTAAGTTTGTAAAGTTAAGGTAGCCTTTGCATTTGCATGTGATTTAAGTTAAATCAGAGACGAGTTTTCAAGAAATAAAAGAAAATACATTTTTAAAAGAAAGCGGATAACTAAACGATAATTGGCAATGAATGAGGAATTCGAGTTGAATCCAAATGATGAACGTCTGACCACAGATCTTCAACTAATACATTATCCGACCTACGGCCCGTTCTATGGCATAATGGGCGTGTCGGTGGCCATCGTCTTCTCTTCGGTTGGTGCCGCCTATGGCACAGCAGTGTCGGGCACGGCGATTGCTGCCACGGCTGTGATGCGACCTGAGCTAATCATGAAGTCGATCATACCCGTTGTCATGGCCGGCATTATAGCCATCTATGGACTGGTCGTAGCGGTGCTGATATCTGGCAAGTTGGACTCGGCGGCCACCTATTCGGTGGCCAATGGCTATATACATCTGTCGGCTGGTCTATCTGTGGGCTTTTGTGGAGTAGCTTCTGGCTATGCCATCGGATGTGTGGGCGATGCCGGTGTACGTAATACGGCCCTGCAGCCGCGGTTATTTATTGGCATGATCTTGATTTTAATCTTTGCTGAAGTCCTGGGCCTCTATGGCATGATTGTGGCCATCTATTTGTATACCAAAGAAATTTAGTCGAGGCGTTGTTTATGCTAAATTCTAACCAAATAAACTTTTTTATTTTTATTGTACCTTAATAACAAAATGTACCTTTATTCCATTAATCATTTGCAGACATTTATTCAAATTACATGTACCTTTAAAATTTGTAGTACGAAAATCAAATATGGCGCCAAAATCTTCGTGCCAGTTTTAGAGATGACACACCGATCGTTTACGAACATTGCCTACTTTTTATTCGCTGTTAAAAGTCTCAGCCGTGCTGTCGGCAACATTATATGCGACTGTTAACAGCAATACGGTCGTTGTTAACAGGGCGCTCCACCAGCTAACAGTAAAGACTCGTAAAGTTAAGCAGAGCCGCTCCGCACTTAACAGTCACTTCGACGCATTTGTACCTGTAAAAAGGTAACAGTTCACGTCAGCAACATACACACGCACGCCTCATAGCTATCTGTCACATTTGCACACACACGCGCATGTCAATGTGTCTTTAGTTGTTTTTTTTTTCCTTTTTCTAATTTCGAGTGAAGCATATTAACAAAATTCGTGTAAATGTTACAATTCCTTGTGAAATCATATATATGTAGATATAAATTTATATATTACTCACTATAAACGTACACTTTGCGTTTGCTTGCAGGCGCAACAACAAGAAATACGCAACAATTCGGATTCACTTTTCGCCAGCGTGGGCAAAAGCGAAAAGCGAGGAGAGAAAAAAGAACACGCTGCCATGGCCGAGTATTGGCAGCAGCAGCAGCAGCCGCAGCAACAGCAGCAGCTGCCCCAACAGCAGCAACAACCACAACAGTTGTCCCAACAACAGCTAACAAATGGAGCTGGAGATTCAGCATGCTCGAACACARCCAATGGCCACTCTAATAATAATAATTATGTAAATTTTAATCAATTTATCAGTCAACACAATTTGGCCAGTTCCGTTTATAATGTTAGCGGCGGCGGCGGGGGTGCCTTTGGCCTAACTCCAAGCAGCAGCGCCAGCAGCGGCTCTAATGTGAGTAAAATTACTTGCCATTTACTGTTACTTTTATAAATTTAGCCCTTTTGTTCCATTTACAGTTATATGCGCCACACTTTTATGGCAGCCAAAATGGCGACAGTTACAATGCAGCTGGCGCAGCCGTTGCCTATCCTGTGGTCTATCCAAATCCATATACATCCTTCGGCCCCAATCCGTTTGCTGCTTCTGCTGCTGCCTCGACTGGCTACGATTTCAGCGCTTCCAAGCTTCAGGCAACAGCGCCCGAATTTGTGCCCAATTTTGCCAAGCTGAGTCTAACAGCGGCAGCAACAGCGACAGCACCGATAACAGAGAGTGACTCTGTTAAAAATCATAGCAACAACAATAACAACACTGCCACACAGCCAAATGGAGGAGCAGCAGTAACAGCGGCGTCGAGTGGGAATTCAGCTCAGCAGCCGCAACGAGTGGAGCCTAGACAATCGAAGAGTCAGGTCAGCAGTAGCGGTGGCGGCGGTGGCGGCGGCGGCAACAACGGTCGCCAGCAGCGACGCAACGAATATCGCGAGGAGCGCAATGAGGAGCGGTATGAGCGCGGCAAGAAACCGCAGAAACAACAACGCTACGATAATCATCGCAGCAATAAACGACGCGATGATTGGAATCGTAATCGCGATCGCATCAATGGCTATCCACGCGCTGCTGAGGAGCTGGACACCAGCAACAGCAACGACAGTGCGCAGGCTTCGCCCGAGAAGCAACAAAATCAGCAGCAGCAACAAATCTCGCCCAGGCGCGCACCGGAACTGGAGAAGCTGTCGCAGCGCGAGAAGCTAATGCGCGACATTGAGCAGCGCCGACTCGAGTGCCTCGTCTGCGTGGAGCTGATCAAGGCGCATCACGGCACCTGGTCGTGCCAGAACTGTTATCACGTGCTGCATCTGAAGTGCACCATCACCTGGGCGAGCAGCTCCAAGTCGAACGAGGGCTGGCGCTGTCCGGCCTGCCAGAATGTGCTGCAGGAGCTGCCGCGCGATTATCTCTGCTTCTGTGGCAAGCTCAAGAATCCGCCGTTGACGCGCAACGAGCTGGCCCACAGCTGCGGCGAGCTCTGCTGTCGCGTCGAGGGCTGCAGCCATGCGTGCACTCTGCTCTGTCATCCGGGTCCGTGTCCGCCGTGCCAGGCGAACGTGACGCGCAGCTGCGGCTGCGGCCGCACCTCCAAGATAATGCAGTGCGCCATGAAGCAGCCGCTGCAGTGCGACGCCATTTGCGACAAGCTGCTCAACTGCGGCGAGCATCGCTGCCAGCAGCCCTGCCATGCGGGCAAGTGCGAGGCGTGCTCGGAGCAGGTGCAGCAGAACTGCCATTGCGGCAAGCAGCAGCGCGAGGTGCTGTGCACCCGGGAGACGCAGGACAAGCGCAGCTACTCGTGCAAGGAGTGCTGCGGCAAGCCCCTGCCGTGCGGCAATCACAAGTGCAAGGATTCGTGTCATGCCGGCGCCTGTCGCCCCTGCAAGCTGAGTCCCACCCAAATCACCAGCTGTCCCTGCGGCAAGCTGCCCGTGCCGGCGTCACAGCGCAGCAGCTGCCTCGATCCGGTGCCCACGTGCGAGGGCACGTGCAACAAGACGCTGCGCTGCGGCAAGCCAGCGCATCCCCATCAGTGCGCCAGCAAGTGCCACCTGGGCCAGTGTCCGCCCTGCCCGAAGCAGACGGCTGTGAAGTGCCGCTGCGGCCACATGGATCAGATGATCAAGTGCCGGCAGCTGTCGACTCGAGCGGACGATGCGCGCTGCAAGCGACGCTGCACCAAGAAGCGCAGCTGCGGCAAGCACAAATGCAACGCCGAGTGCTGCATCGATATCGATCACGCCTGTCCATTGCCCTGCAATCGCACGCTGACCTGCGGCCGGCACAAATGCGACCAGCCCTGCCATCGTGGCAATTGTCCGCCCTGCTACCGCAGCAGCTTCGAGGAGCTCTACTGCGAGTGCGGCGCCGAGGTCATCTATCCGCCGGTGCCCTGCGGCACCAAGAAACCCGTCTGCAAGCGCCCCTGCTCGCGCACCCACGGCTGCGAGCATCCACCGCAGCACAATTGCCATGCGGCGGCCACCTGCCCGCCCTGCATGATGTTCACCACGAAGTGGTGCCATGGCCAGCATGAGCAGCGCAAGACCATACCCTGCTCCCAGGCCAGCTTCAGCTGTGGCCTGGCCTGCGGCAAGCCGTTGTCCTGCGGCCGGCACAAGTGCATCCGGCCCTGCCACGATGGCGAGTGCCAGCAGACGGGCGAGCAGTGCCGCCAGAGCTGCACCAAGCCGCGCCTGCTCTGTGGCCACAAATGTGCCGCCGTCTGCCATGAGGGCGACTGCCCGGAGACGCCCTGCAAGGAGCTGGTCGAGGTGCAGTGCGAGTGCGGCAATCGCAAGCAGAATCGCAGCTGCCAGGAGCTGGCGCGCGAGCATAGTCGCATTGCCACCGCCCAGCTGGCGTCCTCCATGGCGGAGATGTCGCGCGGCAACTACATGGAGCTGAGTGAAATTCTGGCTCCCAACAAAAACAACAAGTCCAACAAAACGTGAGTGGAATAAATAATTAAATATAATATAATAATAATAAGTAAATATTTGCCTTCTGCTCCGACAGCTTGGACTGCAATGAGGAGTGTCGCCTGCTGGAGCGCAATCGTCGCTTGGCCATTGGCCTGCAGTCGCGCAATCCGGACGCACAGCTGAAGCCGCTGACCAAGTACTCGGAATTCTTGCGTG